GAAGATTTCGTTGATATAAGACTAATTACTGCTGATAGAAGACTAGAGACAACTCGCAGAACACTCTATTATTCCAAGTCTAGTATTAGTTCCAGTTCTAATTATTATTCTGCGATGACGTCACAAACGGGCCATCGAGCTGTGCCTCTTACTTAGATTCTATCGTCCTTGGGCCTAACAGAAAAATAAAATCGATATTTCTTATAATTAAAAAAAAAATATATATTCTGACGTTATTCTTGTGGCGAATTCGAGCTTTCAACGAAGTTGATGGAGACCTTCCGGTAGGTTTGATAACTACTCCCTTACCCAGAGGGATAAAATCGCGATAAAAACACCGTCGTCGCCGTGGGTGTTTCAATTCGACGGGGCAACAACGAGAAAAAAAGCAACTTTGCCGTTTTTTTTTTGTCGTGGTGCTTCCGCTGCTAACAACGACGGCGAGTGGATTGCACTTTGTTAGGTGCTGGCAGCAGCTGTGCAATAAAGCAAGTGACCTGAATCGGGTTATATAAGAGTGGAAATAAGAATAACAGTTCGGTTGAGAGAAACATTAAATTGAGTTAAATGTAAAATGAACTTTTTATTATATTATAGTTTGTTCGCGGCACTTTATTAAAATGGTATCGAATCGAATTTAAGTCTAACTCAAGTCAATTCGAGAATTTCGACTTATTTTGCAAAAATTGTACCATTGGGTAAAGTTTAGTGTGATAAATACACATTAATTAAAATTGGAATAAAAATTTAGAGGTTATATTGACTTACCCGTTTGAAAACCAAAACTCTAACAAAAATTTTCATTAAAACACTCTGCAAATATGTACTGTTGAGTTTTAATGGTGAAAATAAGATAAATCGGAGAAAGTGACATAAACGAAATTTGAACGTCAATCAGAGTTAGTGCCAACCTTAAATAATAAAAATAACTAGCGATGTTTTGGCGCGTAATTTAAAAAGTTTGTTGTTTATAAATAATTCTTTTACAATTAATTTATGGATAATTAATTTATGGATAATTTATGGAATTAATTTATGGCAAATCTCGGAGTGTCGATAAATAATCAAGTTGTTTAATTGGGGAGATATTTTTACTAAAAATTATTTTAATACTTTCTCATTTGAAAAATAATTCATTTTCCTCATAATCTTGGATCTCAATGTACGTGCGCAATTAAAAATTCTCGAGATATTTCTGCGTCCAATTCCCGATCCTTTATTACCGTTATTACGTATTCCAATGAATTCCATTCAATTCATTGCATTAATTGTCGGACTCAACTCTATGGTTAAGCTTCAAACTGAGCTTTTTGCGTATCCATAGATAAATTCGGATTGTATGAAATTCGCAATGTGAAAATGCACATTTCTGCGTATTCGAGTCCATCCATATCGGTCTGGTCGGATTGCTATCAATGTTAAAGGATGAATCTCGCGAGTTGTGAGTAACCAAGTTTTTTCATGAATGGAAATTTTTGTGGAGCTGAATTGGGTTGATCTGCACTAATTGTTTTCCTAGTTCTAGGTCTAGTGTTAGTTCTAGTTACTAGTTCTATTCGGGTTTAGCACTGGGAACACAGTTTCAAGACCATTTATTGCTTTCAAAGACTTTAATAATTGTTTGGAAAAGAAATATGCTTTTCAAAAAGCTACCTACCACCTCCAGAATGTTAGATACTGCTGGAAAAGACTAATAACTGCTTGGAAAGGAGAGATATGGATCCCAAAAAACTACCTAATGTTGCCAGAATACAGCTGCTCGGAGAGGACTAGACAGGCTACCAAACAACTACAAATTGCTTGGAAAGACGAAATACTGCTTCCATAAGACTACTTACTGCTTTCAAAGCGCTATATACTACTAGAAAAGATTACAACCTGCTTGGAGAAGACTAAATACTGCTGGGAGAAACTATTATCTGTTTATTAACTACTTTCAGAATGCTAAATATAGTTGGAAAGACTACTAATTGCTTGGAGAAAGCTAGATATTGTTTGCAAAGACTATTTAATGCTTTTAGAAGACTATATACTGTTGCCAAAACACTACTAAGTGCTTGGAGATTCCAACACTACTGGCTGAAGACTATTTACTGAAACTATTCTTCAGCTATCATAATCCTATCTATGATTATCAGTCCAGATTCGTGGATTCTAAATTTTCGGAATCAATTTTATGTAAACACTTATAACTGATTCTGAGAACTTTTGGTGTTTACCAAAAGATGTAATAATGCAAATAGAACGAGTTTGGAGTTTGGAAATATTTACTGAAAAGAAAACCGATCTAATCATAAGCTAAATTCGTTTCAAAACGCAGCTTTCAATAACACCAACCTCAACGCTTAGAATTGATTTTGAACTTTCTGGAAACAGTCTTAAAATGTACTGCATCTTTTCCTACCAACTTGCATAGTTTTATGTGAACACTCGAAACTGAGTCAGATAAGTTTTAGTATTTGCCAAAAGACGCAATAATGCAAATAGAATATGTTTGGAAAGTTTCAAAATGCAGCTTTGAATAACACCAGAATCTATTGTAAGTATGACAATAGAATAAAGTCCAACCTCAACGTTGTTTAAATATTTAGAACTGACTCTGAACTTTCTGGAATCAGTTATCTAATATGTGCTGCATTTTTTTCAACCAACTTGCAAAATTTGTACAAATTTATGCTTTAATCTCTCAACATTTTCCGCAATGTTTTACGGAGATAATACTAATAATTGATTTTTTTTTGTTGAAAAAACTATCTTTCGTATTTTATTATTTTTACACTAGCAGTATCACTAGAATTAATACAAGACCTAGAACTAGAATCATTCGAGTTTAGCCGTCTTGAGAGACTTGCGGCTAAACCCGAATGTTTCTAGTTCTAGGTCTAGTGTTAGTTCTAATAGCAGTGGTAGGCAGCGCTAATTAGCATAAGATGTTACTATATTGTATATTTTTATTGAACTCAATGTCAACTTTAATTTTATTATTATATTCGTAATCTTCATAAAATAATCTTTAAAGTGAGTTTAAACTTGACGCATTTATTTCAAAAAACCAAAAAGTACGAACTTTCAAATTTTAATTTTGACATATTTGTCAACTACATAAAAAATCCTTTAAAATGAGTCCAAACTCGACATATTTAACTTTAATATTAATGGAAACACAATCACTTCCGGTTTGAAACGTCAACGTCAATTTTGACATATTTGTCAACTTCATTAAAAACCCTTTAAAATGAGTCCAAAGATGACGCACTTATCTCAAAAAACAAAAAAGTTTGATTAAAAAACATTAAACCCGAAGTTAGCAACAATGAAGATAATAATTGAATTTTTAAATATTAATACCAACCTTAATTTTTTATTTTTTTTTATTATATTTTTGTTTTTGTGACAAATATTAATTTGACATAAGAATATGTCAAAATGACGTTGACATTTCAAACCGGAAGTTGCTTATATCTCGAGTAATATTGGAATTAATCGTATCATGTTTGGACTCATTTTAAAGGATTTTTCACGACGATTACGAATATGTCAAAATTGACGTTGACACTTCTTAACCGGAAGTTAACCATAACTTCTTCAATATTGAAGATAAATATGTCGTGTTTGTACTCATTTGAAAGGTTTTTTAATGAAGATTACAAATATGTCAAAATTGACGTTGACATTCTTAACCGGAAGTTGACCATAACTTCTTCAATATTGAAGATAAACATGTCGTGTTTGTACTCATTTGAAAGGTTTTTTAATGAAGATTACAAATATGTCAAAATTGACGTTGACATTCTTAACCGGAAGTTGACCATAACTTCTTCAATATTGAAGATAAATATGTCGTGTTTGTACTCATTTGAAAGGATTTTTAATGAAGATTACAAATATGTCAAAATTGAGGTTGACATTTTAAACCTGAAGTTAGTTATCATATAATAGAAGATTTATAACTAAGTTAATCCTAGTGTTAGTCACTGTTTCGCACTTTCTTTTTATTTTTTCCAAGTTTCTTAAAAAAGAGTGTTTTTAAATTCTAACCTGAACACTTCGTCTTTATTTTCATTTTACAACTTTTTAAACTTTAATTTTGTAAATTAGTAACTACTCAATTCCTTATTTTATTAAAGCTGTAAAAACGTTTCCGTGATAAATGTTGTACAACATATTTAGTTTTAGCAACGTAATAAAAATGTTTATAAAACAACTGTAGCACCAAAATAGGCACAATTTATGTAATTTTTTCAATTATTTTATAGCTGTGTCTTGATCTACTATAAAATATTTATATAGGGTGATTCAAAAAACCGCTGACAGATTTCTAGAGTAGATAATACATGAAAAATTAAGATGATAGTCTTTAAAGTCAAAGTTTCTTTAAAATTAAACATTATCTGCAATAAAAAGCCCTTTTTTAAAAATATTGTCTACGCCATTGCTAATTTTGTCAAACGGGTAGTATTTTTGTGTAAAGTGATCAATTATCTATCAATTGATCTTTTACAAAACTTTACAACTCTTAACTTCCATCTATTAGACAATATTATAAACATTACTCCTGAACTACCACCTAGCGATTAAATAACCTTATCGTGTTGTTAGCTGCAGTTATAATGTGTTATAAAACTGATATTATCTTTGCGTCAGTTTTTAAATAACTGTTTTATAAACACTTATAGAGATACATATAAAACAATTGCAATATTCATTTATAACAGGATTGTGAATAACATGTTACGCTTTTGGGAAGATCTAATAAGATTATGTTGTATTATAAGCTGTGTGGTTATACAGGTGTCCCGCAACGATTGTACAAAACTGCATCAGCGTATTCTATGATCAAAAATAAACAAAAAACGCCTAATAAACATAGGTCCGAAAATGGACCATTTTCGAGATATTCAAAGATTTAGTTTTATAAGTTGATATTGTTAACATCATGAATTTAAATTTGTTTTTATAATAATTAAGTCGTTACTATGATTACGATAANAATATAACGATAGGAACAAGTGAGGAATTACCAAATGATTGAATCTGATGTATATTTTGTAAGGAATTGACGTAAGTTTTATTATTGTATTAATTTTTTAAATTAATTTAATTTAGCACGTTAATCCGAGATTTATTTAAGAAAATTTGTATTTATGTAGGATAACTCCTGAAGATGCTGTATAAACACAGTGAAACCGGTTGAGTGAAAATTTAAAAATAAAAATCCATTAAAGTGCAAAAACCGAAGTTTAATTTTACACACATAAAATGGAAAGTAAATCACCGAATAATATAAATCTAAAAATATTTCCCCGCCGTTGTTGGACCCACATCACACGTTGATGCGATAGCAGCAGACGACATCATGCACGCATTAAGTACTTCTGTTAACATCTGCACTTGTGTGTCTTCAGAAATCGAACGACGACCAGTTCTTTTGCGGTCTTCGACGCTTCCAGTTTCCAAAAACTTATTTACAAGTTCTCTTAAATATTTTTGACTAATTGGATGTTCAGGAAATCGTTCATTAAATTGTCGCTCTGTTTCATGTACATTTCTGTCAGCACGAGCGAATGTTAAAATTCCTCCGATTTTGTGCTCTAAACTCCTTCTAGCCATTTTGATCTCGCCTTTCTTTGGTTATACTTGGTCGGGTAGAGTTCCAAGATAGAAATGAAGGAAAATAGTATTTGCATGCTGCCTTAAATACAAAATTTCAAGGTACCTACAAACTTTAAAATTGTTGTTATGACAATTTTTTCTTAAAAGTTTTAAGAAGAACTTTCTTTTATCCTTTTCTTGCATTGATTGTTTCATAAAAACATTCTAAAAGAATTGCCGATTTTAACTCTGCTTAACCCGAGCGTAGACCGACCTTTAACTGACCGTGCACCATTTATCTGGCGCATTGTATCTCGACAGGTAGTCAACGAAGATACGTTGGTTTTTCCGGCGAAATTTCGCATTTTGTTTAATATTTATGTAAAAAACTAATAAACCGATATTTGATTGTGAGGTATCGTTGGATTCGTATTGTTTTATTCTTTCGGAAGATACCATAATATATTGGATGTTTCATTTAAAAAAACAAAGTTGATCCATTTTCCGGAAAAACTAAAAGTGATAGCAAAATTTTCCATAAGAAAATATTTGTGCTGATAAAATATAGAAACTGACGTTTTTTTGTTCATATTGATATCACAATTTGTTCGGAAGTTAAGAAGGGGGGGGGTTACTTTACGCTAGCACTGTATAAATTGGGTACCGGGCTTATTGATAACCCGGAAATCTTTAATTAGTTTTAATGTCCCGCAATATCGCACTCGCGATAGTTTTTTGTTTAGAATACCTCCGTCGGCGTCTAATGCGTATACTAATTCGCATATCCTGCGCATATTAAACTCGTATAAGAAAGTTTACCAGTCGATTGATATATTTAATTGTTCTTTTGTATCGTTTAAAAAGAAATGTATGTGACTTCCCAACATTATTAGTTAACAAAAATTATTATAAAAAATTACCATATTAGTGGTTTGGAATCTGGGTTTCTATAGGTGTAGTGGTCTATTTTACTGGTTTTATAATGGTTAATTAAGGTCCGAAAATCATCTTCAGTGGTTATGTTTATTTTAGTTGTATCAGTGGAATAATGTATTGTGAATTCACATTTTACTAATTTTTTTATATCCTTAAGAATTTCTTGATGGTTAAAAGACCCTTTTAGAAATATTGGTGGAATTCGTTTAATTTTTTGAGCAGTTGTTTGACTTGAGGTAGATGGACTCGGTTCGTTGTCATCTGGTCGATTGTCGAATTGAGAAAGTGGAAAAAACTGATTTGTTTCGAGAATATGAACAGGTTTGGTATTTGGAGTCCATATGTATCTCTTCAAGGTTTCATTTATAGCTGGTGACAATTCGTCAGATTTTCTCTTGGAGCTCATAAAGTTCAGGTTGAATTACAACCCCTTAGGGCTGCCCCTCGTTTATACCGATATACAGGGTGTCCCGCAACGATTGTACAAAACTGCATCAGCGTATTCTATGATCAAAAATAAACAAAAAAAGCCTAATAAACATAGGTCCGAAAATGGACCATTTTCGAGATATTCAAAGATTTGGTTTCATAAGTTAATATTGTTAACATCATGAATTTAAATTTGTTTTTATAATAATTAAATCTTTACTATGATTACGATAAGTTGTCTAATCAAAAAAAAATAATAATACTTCACGAAATTATTATTTTACTATTTAATTTAATAAAACTATTAAGTATGACCCCTATTAATTACTCCAAGGAAGAGATGGCGGATATGGTGTATTGTTACGGACTAGCTGATGGAAATGCGTCGTTAGCAGCTCGTCATTACTAGCAAAGGTTTAATTAGGTTTAACCTTTAGCAGACTATTTCTCAGATTAAAAGAAACGGGAAGCGTAACCCACAGCCATTCCACGGAGAGACATTACACAAGGCCGGTGGAATTAGAAGAAGCAGTTTTGAGAAGAGTCGATGAAAATGCCTCAACCAGCATTAGAAGAATTTCTGCACAAGAGAACATTAACAAAACAACCGTTCACCGCATTTTAAGGGAGCAGTTGCTTTATCCTTATCATTACAACACCGTTCAAGCTCTAACAGAAAATGATGGCGAAAAAAGAGAGATTTTTTGTAGGTGGGCCATACAGGAAGAGGTAGTAAACGTCGACTTTCCCATAAACATTGTATTTACGGATGAAGCAACATTTACTCAAAGCGGAATTTTTAATATTCATGATGCGCACGTTTGGAGCGATGAAAATCCCCATGCAATACTAGAAACTCATCATCAGTGGCGATTCAGTGTTAATGTATGGGCTGGAGTTATAGGTTCCAAAGAGATTGACAGCCGATGCCTACATACATTTTTTACAAAATGACCTTACAGAGGCATTTGATGAATTACCTCAACAAATTCTAGAAGATTGCTACTTTATGCACGATTATGCACGCGCTACTCGAGCATACTTAAATAACAGATTTGGCAATAAGTGGATTGGCCGAGGAGGGCCACCTCGTTCACCAGATTTAAATCCGTTAGATTTTTGGTTTTGGGGACATTTAAAACAAATTGTTTATTCTGAAAACGTTCAAAATGTGCAGGATTTGAAGAATAAAATTAGTAACGCATTTGACACAGTAAAACAAATTCCTGGTATCTTTGAACGCATTAGAAGTTCATTTAGAAAACGTATCCGTTTGTGTTTAAAAGTAAATGGTGCGGATATTGAACATTTATTATGACATGAATCTTTTCCAATTTGTTAAATATTCGTTGTTTTTATGCTGGTTGAACGATTTTCTTCGACAATCTTTGTTACTTGTTTTGTTAAATTATTAATGAACTGTATTAATTAACTTAATATTATCTTATTATTTATTAAACTTTATCTTAACCATCGTAACCATGGTAATCATATAATTACTGCATCTAAATCGTTAGAATTAATGATGTTTACAATAGGTCAGCTTATGAAACTAAAACTTTGAATATCTCGAAATTGGTCCATTTTCGGACCTATGTTTATTAGACTTTTCTTGTCTGTTTTCGATCAGAGAATACGCTGATGCAGTATTGTACAATCGTTGCAGGACACCCTGTATATATAATAAAAATAATAAAGTGAATTTAAAAAAATATAAATAATGCAAATATACGAATTTTATTTAATTTTTTACTTACGAATACTCCTTTTATTTATCGTAAAAGGTGCTACGACTAGGAAAACTTTGGGAATCGCTGCTATAATATAATATAATGTATTGTATTTCATTTAGCATCTTATTTAGTTATTTCTACTTCTGCTGTTGAAATAATTTAAATTAAAAACGATGAACACAAACATGAAGAAGATGAAGGTTTTGAAAGAAATGTCTTCTTTACTTCTTAACCTTCCTTATAGGGTAAATTTTAATATAATTTTCTGTACAAAAAAAATTAAAATAATTTATTTAATTTCGAAAAAGTTTTCGGACAATGTTTTTTCGCTAAAACTGTATAAGCAGCATTCGAATCACTGTCAATTATTAAATCGTACGATAATTTATTCCAAAAATGAATTAGATAGCTATTCTTGGCCTTATTAAGAACTTCATCGAGGTATTCCGGATCAAATAAATCTTCCCAACTACCATAAAAAATCGGGTAAAATAAATTCGTGGGAAGAATTTTTAAATGATCACATTTGTGGTAAAGGAAATTTCGCGTTGCATTACACAACTTTTTCACCCACCTAAAAAAATAACTTCAATAAATATAAATAATAATAAATTAAAATAAAATACTTAGTAAATAGAAAAGGACCATGTCCCGTCCACGATTTCGGGTTATAATGTTCATTAAAATCCCTTAAAATTCGATTCAATAAATCGATGCTGTTCCCATCAAAACCGATAATTCCCCCAGCCAAACCTGTTTCAAATTCTTTCCCAATAAAATTCCCCCCCAAATCATCCAAAGATTTCAATACAATCACATCACTATCCATATAAATCCCACCAAACTTCATTAAAACGATCACACGAAACGCATCACTGAAATGTTCGACGAAATAATCCGAAGTTTCAATTAAATGCTTTTTAAATAACCCCTCAATTTCCGTATTTCTAACCAAATCCTCAATTTTCGCATAAACAACATGAACATTTTCGTATGTTAAAACCGTATTCAAATATTTGTCTTGAATATAAATCGTTTTGATGTCATTTGGAAACACGTAAATGTAATAAATCGATCGATTTCGATGATATAAAGCTGCCGATTCAAACGCGCAAGACGCCCGACGATTTATCGTGACCACTTCGTGTTCGAAATCCTTAAAAGACGTCTCTAAGAAGAAAATCGAGTTGTTTTTGATGGTTAAATCAAAGAGGTTTCTTAAAGTTTGTCGATTTTTCTTTAAAATTATTGTTATATCGTCGTTTGGTGGTTTTGTTGCTAACAGTAAGTAAGTAATAAAGTAAAAAAATCCGAATGAAATGATGATGATAAAAACACGTTGAAAGGCGTTCATTTTTTAACAACAACTAAATGGAGTTATTACAAAAAAAAAGCATTAAAATGTAAAGTGTTAAGTGGTGACGTATAAAAGTGTTTCTTTATCTAAAATATTTGTGATAGGAATTGAAATATTTAGCTTAAAATTCGAAGAAATGTTTTTGTAATGTTTTAAGTATTAAGGTATGCGCGTTTATTTTTGATATTTGAAATTTCGAATTGGCCACATTGAGTGATTCGAACAATTCTGTTTTTTCGGGAAAAACTGTAGCAGCAAAAATAAGAGTTCAAACATCTTACAAGTGTTTTAGTTACGGCTTAATATTTAAAATCATCATTATGTATGAGTCAAAATGAAATATTTCAAGCATTTTTCTTCAAATTTTCATTTTATGTTGGAATTTGGCCGATTTTGGTACTTTATTAATTTTATTTTTTTCTTTAACTTTATTTGTGTTCAATAACAACTCTCTTATACAAAATAAACTATACCGGGTGTCCCGTTAAGGGTAAGGAGCGGCTGTATCTCGACAACAGTAAGGCCTAGAGGTTTGGGAAAAAATCCTAATCGGAAAAGTGGAGAAGATAAATATCTTGTGATGGACATATTTTAATATTCAAAGTTACATAAATTATTGTTATTATATAATTTGCCAATTAAACAGTTTTGTTTAAACAGTTTGCCATCGGAAGTGTTAAGTTACACTTTGGCCATCGGCACGTGGTTACAATAACGCTGAGCAATAGAAATGTTGGCACAAATGAAATACATAAGTAGTCAATAATTCTAAGCGAAAAGCATTGGTAGCCACATAGTTTTAACGAACACAATAGACATGTAATAAAGTAAAATAAATTAGTAATTAAAAAAAAAAACAAGAAGAAATCCTAATAGTGCAATCAAGCAATAGTGGAGGCCAAACAAATAATCCATCAACCAGTGGAAATCATTCAGTTGGCGAGATATTGGGGATGACAGCTTTATCCATAGTGATTTTGATGCTGCTAATATTCGTTGGGTGCCGTCTATATCGTAGAAGAATGGAAAAGAAGATCGTCAAGTCCGTCCATCGTGAGATGAAGAAAAGTAGGGAATCTCTCATGGATACAACAGTGTGAGTTGTGTATAAGTGAAAAAAAAAAGGAAAAACGTGAAAACTGAGAAGTGCCAGTAAATGGATTACTTGGAATAATGAAAATTTAGAAGTATGTATTTAACATTTACTAAATGACTAATTTTGTTATAATTAAAGAACTTAGATATAACTAATAAGAACTTTTTAAAGTTAGAAAAAATTGAAAACGAATTTTCGTATGTTAGGTTAGAATTTAATAAAGAACAAAATAGTATATTTTTGCAAGGGACTCCATGAAGAAACTATCTACTAAAACACCAAATTGGCAAGGTTGAGGAACAGATTAATATTTCTGACGAAATGCAAAAAGAACGGACTAACCCCCAGACACATTCACGATGGTATGAAGAGAACCACCACACTATTGGACACACGCAATCAAGTCTTAATCCACAAAGTGTACCATTTCACGAACAGGTTTGCTATTAACACTTTGAATCTTGAAATAAAAATTACAAGAATTGGATTGTCAATTTGTCTTCGGTATCTATTCCCCAGGATGTGTCAGATTTCTTGTCGCTCGGTTCAAAATTTGCTCTTCCTGTTGATAAACGTAATATTAAGCTGAGTAGATGTTTGATGGACGTTGAAAGCGCTATTTCATTTTGTCCCTCTAGGGTTAGAGACTTGCTTAGGGCGAGAAGTACGAATGTTATTACTAACTTTGTTAATGCTGATGTTAATGATACGTGGCTGGATAAACATATTAAACACTTAATTAAGGCTACCAAATCCTTCCTTAAATTCAATAAAAACTTAGTTATCATCAATGCTGATAAAGGTGCTACTACAGTCATTCTGAATAAAGATGATTATATCAATAAAGCTGTTGACATGCTGAATGATGTATCTACTTACACCAGAATTAAGAAATTTCCTGTAGACACTGTTTAAAGGAATCTTAATAAATTAATTAAACACCTTCACAATGAAAAGATTATTGATGATAATGAATTAAAGTTTCTTACAACACAAAATTCAACTCTTCAGCTTACTTTTTACCGAAAATACATAAACCTAATGTACCTCTCAGACTCATCATATCAGCTTGTGGTTCAGCCACGTACAATTTATCCAAATATTTATCCAACGTTCTTGCTCTCTCCTTGAGCAATGTTACTCAATATAATGTTAAAGGTACCTTTGAATTCGTTAATTACATAAAGGGCTTTCAACTTCCATCAGACTATGTCATTATTTCTCTGGATGTGGTGAGTTTGTTCACCAACAATCACCAATGAGATTTGATCAAGGATAACTAAGTTTTCCTCTGAAACCTTTTGTAAACTTTTAAAGTATATTTTTGATAACACCTCCTTTTCATTTAATGATCAAATTTATTTGCAGAAGTTTGGTACACCCATGGGCTCACCTATAAATCCTATTTTGGCACTTATAGTTATGGACACTATTCTTGATAATGTTATTCCTCAGTTAGAGTTTGAATTGCCGTTCATTAAACAATTTGTTGTTGATGATATTATCACAAGTGTGCCCAGGGATGGTGCTGATCACATTTGGAAAGGGCAATTTTGTTCCGTTCCTTGATTGTAGGATTCAAGTCATTCCTTTAATCATAAGATCAATACTCTGGAAAGAAAAATAGAATTCTGGAAATTTGTAATACTAAATTTCAAGCTGAAGCTCTTGCTAAACTTAAGAAAGTTTTTATCAATAATGGTTTTCCATTAAAGATTGTTAATAAGGTTCTGTTTTCCAGTTCCACCCGGAGTGCTGCTAATGTTAATCCTAGTATTTTTTGATGCTGTTTCGTTGTTAAAGTTCAAATTTAAAATTTAGCGGTTTTCTGTTTTATATTTGTTCATGCGCGTTTAACGTCTAGGATTGGTGGATGATGCGCAGACGCAAAACTGTTTAAACCGGCTCAAAAAAAGTTGTTTTTCAACGCATTTGTTGTTTCATATACGTTTTAAGTTCTTAACTCTTCATCCATCTTTAATGTTCAATTGACTTTGGATTTTTTTTTGTTTTAATGAGTAGTCAAGAAGTGTTTTGATGTATTTCAACCACCGTGATTTCATTTAATTATGATGTAAGTAGATTTAAAAGTTGTTTTTTCTTGTTAGTAACTTCGGTGGTTTTTTTTAATAATTGCCTGTAGAAGAAACAATAAAGTTTCGAAATATCGCAACTAATAATTTAGTTACTTTTTTGTGTCTGATCGCCGCACCCACTAATCCTACCTTATATAGTCAAAATAGTATTGACATAATTAAGCAAGGTATGGTATTGTAGAAATAGAAAATTTACTAAAAGGAATAAGAAGTTGTTTATTTTAAAATGTTTCAATATATTTAAATTGGGTTAATTGGGAAAATTAAATTGTATTATTTAAACCTTTTCCTTCTTTTATTTAAATGTATTTTTTTTTCACGTACATCATTTTTGTTAATGAAAATGCATTAAAACAATTTTATAATTTGTATTATTTTTTTACTTCCTTAATATTAATTATACAATAGCATTTCATTTAGGTCAATTATTCCATTGGTCAGCATTATTGCAGCCGCTATATCACTTGACATTTCCGCCGGCGAGCTGTATCGCACTTTACTTGGCAATGCGCCGCGTCGATCGTCGTAACTTGACACTTCCGCCCGGCGAGGAAAGCATTGTATCGTGTAACTCATAGCAATGTCTCTATGTTTTTTTTTTCGGTCTCTGTGAGTTTAAACCAAAGAAAAAATTTATTCGAAGTTGAGTTGGATTTACTCCTTTTACCCTATTTATTGTTCATGGGAAACGTCTTACGAGCTGCGCATGGTCTTCCGTTGTGGTGGAGTTAGAAGCGGGCTTGCTTCTCAACGTTTTTTTACCTACCCGGCTCGCTAAGGGTATTACCGATCAAGAAGGTTACAAGATCAATGTATCGTGTATAATAATAATAATAAAGGATGTTGGTAAACCGAAGCCCCGCTCATATTAATTGAATTTGTAGAAAAAGTACCATAACATTAAGGTTTTTATTATTTTTTTTTACTATTATTATGTAATGTTTATTATTATTATAAAAATGTTTATTAATACTTTTATTGGGTTGATTGGGGGGAAATAAAATTGTGTTATTATTATTTTCCGGAATATTCCCAAGTTCCTGCGCACGTGCATTCAAGAGTTGTGAGGCACGCCTTTATGCATTCAACGCACCATCTTTCAGAAACGCCGATTCTAGACAGGAAGTTGTTGCACCTCCGCACCTCCGTGACGTCATCCGCCCGATGTAAAAGGATAGGGGGGAAGGGTGTCAACCAAAGGCTTGGGGGACAAAATATAGGTTGGTAACTAGACCTGGTGACTTTTAAAAAAAAAGTAACAGTCTACCTGGTTGGTAGTGGTTTAGTTCCACTACCAGCTCTAGATGGCGCGTTACTTTTTAAAAAATTCACCAGATTAGTTACTTTTCCAATACCAACACCAACCATTTTTTTTCACCTCCGCCTTAGGTTGGTACCCTTCCCTATCCTTTTACATTGGATTGATGACGTCACGGAGGTGCGGAGGTGCAATTTCCGGTCTAGAATCGGCGTTTCTATACTACTGGTAGAAAGAAAAACTAGTATTGAAAAAGTAATAATTTGTAATATATTTGTTTTAAAAGCAAAACTTTCACAAAGCGCGAAATTAAGTTAAATACCATCTACGGCAATAATAGTGACTTAATTCGTGATATGAAAGAACATTTATTAACAAAACTATACGCTCCCGCTTTATCTTTAGAATTACATACCTCAAAACAAGATAATAACTCGATAGACGAGTTTGGTAGGTTACAAGAAAATTTAGCGACTAATCTAACTATAAGTCAATCAAACGGGAACAATGACGCTGCAAAAATTTTACGAGTAGAAAATGAAAAAGTGGCTATTAATGTATTTGCTAACGGATTACGAAATCATGATTTGAGAACAATAGTTAAGGCTAGGAATTATTCTACTTTAAAAGACGAATTGCTGGTGCGAAGGATGAGGAAAACTCTAAAAAAGGTTCTTCATCTGCACAAGTATATCATTTTATACCAGCGTACAACCAAATATGCGTAATTCACCACAAGTACACACCAAAATCAATCCAATAGGTTTAACAGTTTCAGAGGTAGAAATAATTTCAGACAGAATAGTTTTAGAGGACAAAACAATTTCAGAAATCGAGGCAGTAATTTTAATAATTTTCGAGGAACACAACGAGGTCGTGAATATTTCAACAACTCGAACAATAATAGTAGAAATGTTTATACTGCACAAGAATAAAATAATATAAATTCAGAACGAAAAGGGAAAGATAAGCAATTTTTTCGTTCCTAAAGATGATTGGTCTACTGATGCTAATATTTTAAAATTAAACGGTGAAAATTTTATAACAGTTAACACTTAAAGGCACCGGGTGGCGTATAAAATGCGCCAAACGAAAAAAAAGTATCACGGCAGCCGTTATTTTTAAGATGGGCGACAAGGAGTCCACATCTAACCTATCCCCCACTTCCTCCCATCGTATATCATCCGATCGTGAAGCGCTAGGGCTAGTCAGTTTCCTAATTTCATTTATTATTGAACTACAGTTCTGTTTTGGCGCACTTTGTACGCCGCTTGTGCTATAATGTCTAACCGCGAAATTGTTCATCCAGAGCGGTTCCAATTAGTTTTACAAGAACTTACTAACGAACAAGAGGACAGTGACAACAACAATGCATCGGATAATGATGGTGAGGAGTATATCGAAGAAAGTGACCATCTAACAGACTCGGAAATCGACTTCAACGAAGTTCACGAAGAAGACACCGATGATTCACCGGACAACGATCCAGAAAATAATGAATCTAATTATTTTATAAAAACTATTTACAAAACGAAGACTGTAAAAGGCCGAAAAATCAAGGAAGTTTCAGAAATTCACAAATGGAAAGAAACTCCGTACAAAAGTAAATTTTCAAAGATATCTCGTAAAAACATTTTACGCAATGTGGGGCCGTTTTCTAAAAATTGTGACGATGTGAATGACGAGTTGTCCGCCTTCTCCAAGATCATCAACACAGATATGATTGATATAATCGTGAAATATACAAATTTATACATAAGAAGATTGAGACCGGAAGCCTTTGCCGGAAATAATAAACAAAACATAAGTGAAACAACGAGGGATGAAATGATGGCGTTTATAGGTATTCTATACTTATTATGGATCAAAAAGATGTCAAAAGTAAACATTTGGGAGGCCTGGGCTAGTGATGGCACAATAGAGATTTTACAAGGCATAATGGGAATAAATAGGTTCAAATTCCTCATAAGTTTCATTAGATTTGATGATAAAAGCACAAGAAATGAACGAAAGAAAATCGATAAACTAGCTCCAGTAAGGGAGTTTTTCGATTTGTTTGTTCAGAACTGTAAACAGTTCTATACGCCTAGTGAAGAGTTGACGATTGACGAAAAATTGGAGCCATATCGTGGTAGATGTTCGTTTTTCCAATATATACCGAGTAAGCCAGCCAAATATGGCTTGAAAATATTTACGCTCACAGACTCAAAAACATTTTATACGCTAAATCTCGAAATTTATTGTGGAACCCAGCCCGAAGGCCTTTATCTTGTAAGAAACAGCGCTATAGATATAGTTGACCGTTTGATCTCCTCGTGGAAAGGAACAAACCGAAATTTGACAACCGATAATTGGTACACTAGTTTGCCATTAGCAAAGTTTCTTCTGAATAATGGTATAACCTTGGTTGGAACTTTAAGATCCAATAAGAAAGAAATACCTCTTGAATTCTTGCCTTCGAAGATCAGATAAATAGGTTCTTCTCTATTTGGATTTCAAGAAGACGTGACGACGGTTTCGTACGTAACTAAAAAAAACAAGTGTGTGGGGGAGCGAATGGCCCCGTGGTAAGCTCTCGGGCTACCACGCCGGCGTCCTGGGTTCGATTCCCAGTGAATAGACGCCGAGTCGCCTCCCCGTCCTTCGGAGGGGACGTTAAGCCGTCGGTCCCGGCAACCAGTCTAACATCTCTGGTTGTCGTCAGATACATGTGTAGTTGGAGGTTGTGAACGTAAAAACAGGTTGAAAGCACGTCTGCGCTCTTTGAGCGGTATTCAGCCATGCACCCAAGTTTCTGGGCGTTGGAGTACCAGCCCGGCTGAAGACGAGGCGAGAAGTGGTATCAGCCTGATCGGATGCCATTTTCGAACATCTTTCACTCCTCCAAATAGACGTACACCTGGCCGAAGTAAACCGTGAGGATGTACAAAGGGGGCGTTGGGGTTATACCACCTGTGGTATAACCAACCTCACATGAAACTACATACATACAACAAGTGTGTGGTTCTAATTAGCACTATGCACGATTATGCTGAAATTGATGATATTTCAAGCAAACCAAATATTATTTTGAAATACAATAAACATAAAGGTGGAGTAGATGTGGTGGATCAACTCTGCGCTAATTATACCGTTGCCAGAAAAACGCACAGATGGCCATTGGTTATCATTTTCTCGCTGCTGAACATCGCTGGAATAAACGCGCAAGTGTTGCTTACAGCGCGTCATCTTAATACCTCGTCTCAGCTTCGCCGATTTTTCTTGAAAACCCTCGCAATCTCTCTAATGAAACCTCATCTACAACATCGACAAATGATCAAATCTCTACCAGTTCATGCGAAAGCAATCATAAAAAGGTTGTTACCACAAAGAGAACCAGAAGTAACTAGTGATGAACGCAGGGGAAAGAAACGAGGGCGATGTAGTTTATGTGGAAGGTCAAAAAACAATTACAACCGTAACATGTTCGAAATGTTGTCAGTTTACATGTCGGAATCAAACAAGTCTTATAAAAAATATTTGCATTAGTTGTACAAATAAATATGAAGATTCTGATCAAGAATAATTTAAGCACGTTAGAGTTGTTGACTGCTATTAGAGTTTGAATTGTATTTCTTTCTCTTTTTAATTTATATTTGTGAAATGGTTTATTTATTTTGTTTAAGGATTAATTATTAATTTCTGTTCGTTGATTTTCATAATATATATATTTATATACATATATATTTTTTGTTTAGTAAAGTTTAATAAATTTTATTTCTGCTCTAAACAATATTTTTTTTTCATCTAAAACCGTAAGTTATAGTGTTCTTGCATCTACAAAAGAAAAATCAATGAAAATTAAGGTGGCGTATAGAATACGCCGCCCGTGTCTTATTGTTAAGACATATCACCCGTGCCTTTAAGGGTTAATTTCAAAAACAATAAATTAAAATTATTACTTGATACAGGAGTTACAATTAGCGTTATCTTTACGTCTTGTTTGTCGGATTAAATATATATATCGAATTTGACATTTAGATGATTATGAAGTAGTTTCAGAAAATGCAGCCATCTAGAATAGATCTTTGTTATGGATTATGCTTTTTTGGTTCAAAATGGACAATTTTCGTGAAAAACATTTTTCTCTATCGCTTGTAGTTTCTGATTTATGGCAGATTTATGAATGTAAGTGATCGATTTTGACATTTAGAAGATTAAGGGTTAGTTTGCAGAAAATGCAGCCATCTATACGAAACACTAGGACGCCATTAATGCTGTGGTAATCCATAAACATAATACAGCTAGTACGGAGAGACGAAGACAATTCCTACGAAATTTATCCCTGCAGTTGGTCGATGGCCATCTTTGTCAAGGAATCACAACATGAAACAACATCTCAAGATAAAAACACCACAAAACGAGGTCGCTGTAGCTCAAAGACCTGCAGCGAATGGCTCATTTAGTGAATCGTATTCGCTAATTCGTTGCTTGACTGTTGCCTTCATTCGTCAATAGTTACTATGAATCATCTTGTGTGATGTTCTTACTTAAGTGTTAATGCTCACATGTCGAATCATATTAATCGATTCGCTATTGTATACTATTATGACTCGCAACATGGATTACCAAACATTGTCTAAATTTGTTCAAAACAGTCTAAAATGAACAAAATGTGGCTAAAATTATCAAAACATGTACAAGATTGTCTAAACTCTTTTGCATCGCCTTCGAATTTACTTTCAATTATTTTTAATAAAAATGAATTTATGACATTATTTTGATTGTGAAGGTCGCCGTGGACATGACTCCTCGCAAAGGTTCCAAATTTTAGTTAATTTTTCTAAAATGTTCTGAATTCCGTGCTTATATTGTCTAAGTTAATTTTTTTTATTGTGGGCTAGAATTTCTGGCAGTGTTATTCTAAGAGGTGTAAGTACAAGGTTAACAAGAAGGAAGATAAGCACGACGTCTGTCGTTTTATGATTATGATAGAAAAAAACTATGGTGATTCGAATGATGTTGATCTTGATAGAGTATTTAAGAGCGGTAATTCAAAGTCATCGAACTAAAATACTATACATGTAAAATCTTATCTATTCGGTCCCTACTTCTAATGCCTTTCGACCCATCAGCCTAACGTCATTTCTGCTGAAAACCCTTGAAAAAGTTCTGGAACGGTATATCCGTACGGTGCCATTGGTATCTGGTCCACTGAATCGCCACCAGTGTGCTTATCAAGCGGGAAAATCAGCAGAATTGGCTCTACACAACTTAGTTGGTAGAGTATCCAGGACGCTGCAGGATAAAGAAATCTTGGTTTGTGCGTTTCTGGATATAGAGGGAGCGTTCAACAACGCAATACCACAATCTCTTGAAAGAGCTGCTCTTGACAGGGGAGTGGAAGCAACTATAGCGGGTTGGATCCGCAATATGCTAGATAGTAGAATAGTTTCTACTTCACTCCACGGTGATACGATACGCTTCAGGCCGGGAGGTGGCTGCCCGCAGGGAGGGGTGTTATCTCCCCTGCTTTGGTCCCTCCTAGTTGACGATCTGATTGCGATAGTCGAAGCCGTTGGTGTGGAAATACAAGCTTATGCTGATGACATTGTCGTTATGGTCAAAGGAACCTGTTTGCCGAGGATATCTAAAGTCCTCCAGGTGACCCTAGATACCATTTGCGCTTGGTGTAAGGGAGAGAACCTCTCAATAAACCCGCAAAAGACAATTGTTGTGCCCTTCACCAGGAAGCGAAAGTTGGATGGACTAATCCGCCCAACTATCCAAGGTGAAGAAATTCCTTTCTCAAAGGAAGTCAAATATCTAGGAGTAATCCTAGACAAAACCCTGTCATGGAATGGACATTTGCAGGGAGTTTTGCACAAAGCTAGACTATCCTTGTGGACTTGTCGCAGTCTTTGTGGAAAAAATTGGGGTCTTACCCCTGAAAGACTGTACTGGCTCTATGTGACTGTGGTTAGACCTATGATCACATACGGAGCAGCAGCCTGGTATAGGAAAGTCCGACAGACTTCAGTTATCAGTAAACTTTCACGAATTCAACGAGTAGCTGGATTGGCAATCTCTGGTGCGATAGGCACAACGCCAACTCTAGCAATGGAGGTTCTGCTTGGCCTATCTCCTCTGCATTTGCATATAGAGAAAGTGGCTAGAACAACCATTTACAGATTTAAGCAATATGCTCAAAACTGTTCCGACATGTCCTACCAATGGGCTGCGGAAGACATTATAAGCACTGATACTGTGCTATCAATGCCGTCAGATTTGGCGGTATCACTATCAGTGATTAATGCTCGATACCAGATTGTACTGCCTGAGCGGCAGTCCTGGATCGAAAATGAAAATTCTCTGGTTCGGGCAGACATTTGCTTGTACACAGATGGATCAAAAACGCCTGAAGGGGTAGGAGCAGGAGTATACTGCCAGACACCTCGAATTAAGCAAGCCTACAGCCTGGGTACGTACTGTACTGTATTCCAGGCGGAAGTATTTGCTATTGACATGGGTGCTAAAATCCTTCTTGAAAGAGGGGTGAAGAACATGACAGTACGAATTTTCTCAGACAGTCAAGCCGCTCTCCAGGCGCTGCAAGCCGTGAAAACGGTGTCGGCTCTGGTTAATGATTGTAAGAGAACATTAAACACACTGAGTTGTGATAACAGAGTCTCTCTGATCTGGGTCCCGGGTCACTCTGGGGTTGCTGGCAATGAAGCGGCAGATAAGCTAGCACGAGATGGCAGCGCTGAAGCGTTTGTGGGACCGGAACCAGCAGTTGGTGTATCATTTGCGATGGCCAAATATAGGATTGGACTGTGGGCTGAAGAGAGACTTCGCCTACTGTGGACCAGTTCTCCTGGAATGAGACATGCTAAGGTGTTTATTAACATCGCCACTGTCAAACCCGGGAATATTTTAGGACTTGCCCGTAGTAGCATAAAAGTTCTAATGGGTGTTTTTACTGGGCACTGCCGATTAAAAGCACACCTCAACTTGTTGGGTTTAGCCGACGATGTTGAATGCCGACTATGTGCGGAGGAAGCAGAGACGGTTGAGCATGTTTTATGCCACTGCCCTGCCGTTAACCGTATCAGATTCTCGATTTTTGGGTCGCAGTTTATCTCCTCAAAAGATCTGAATGACCTTTCGCCGAGCAAGGTATTAATGTTCGTTAAGAGCATTGGACTGCACGGTGAAATTTGATAACGATATCTATCGGGGTACAATAGATCCTTAGGATCGCGGTGCAAGGTTGGTTGGTCCGCCTACCCGATATGTATTCTATGTAATGTAATGTAATGTAAATCTTATCTAATTGAGAGCTAACATCGTATAGGTACCTCTACAAAGTTTACATTGTATATGGTTTATTTCATTAATACATCAACTACTTTCAGGTTAATAGCATAACTGTGTTACAGTATAAGATAAGAAACAAAAATCATGAACTTGTTAGTATCTTAGTTGCCCAATAATATTATAATTAACCTTGACCGTCTATCAAGGTGATTAGAAGCAATATAAAACGCAAGCAAATAGTTTTAACTTCATATTAGTCAATAACGTCTTCATCTATTAATGGAGGTGCATTTTTCAGGTTCCGGAAGTTCCGTATACTTACAACAGGACACCAACCATGAACCTACTGCAGATGATTGGATTTCAGCCGAAGAGATCTGCAGGGAGGAAAAAATACGATGGGCCATCAACAGTTCAAAACACCAGGACCAGACGGTATTATACCAGCCCTTTTACAATGGGGCTTGAAGGACTTAGTACCTCACCGAGTGGAAATTTTCCAGGCATACCTGGCGCTGCGCTATATACCCAGTCGGTGGCGTGAGGTCACAGTGAACTTCATACCAAAACCGGGTAAACTTGATTATTTCACACCGAAATCGTTTAGACCAATCAGTCTCTCCTCCTGTCTTTTGAAAACTCTGGAAAGACTGTGTGATTGCTACATTAGAGATTTCTGTCTTCTAACTAAACCAGTAAATCCTAATCAACACGCCTACACTCGGGGCAAGTCCACACTAACAGCTCTTCACTCAGTGACCAGCTTTGTTGGTGGAGCGCTGAACCTAAAGGAGTCCGCCCTGGGTGTTTTCATAGATATAGAGGGAGCTTTTGATAAAACAACTTTCTCTGGTATTAACGAAGCCTTGTTAGAGCATAATGTTCCACCGACACTTTGTGGTTGGATTGAGAACACTCTTAAACATAGGATAGTTAAGCTTAGGGCTGGCGATGTCAGTCTTCAAGGAGGAGTTACTCGAGGCTGTCCACAAGGGGGTGTACTATCCCCACTTTTGTGGAACCTCACTCTGGATAGCCTCTTGAACCGCCTCGCTGAAGCCAACTTTATCACAGTTGGTTACGCAGATGATTTAACCATTCTCGTCAAAGGCAAGTATATAAACGTGGTTTGATTAGATGCAAGTAGCTCTTAAATTGAGACCTGGTGTGACGAACAAAGACTCTCTGTGAATTCTAAGAAGACAGAGTTGATTCTCTTCACACGGATGAGGAAGGTTGGCAAGCCCAGAATGACATCCCTTGCTAATACTCCATTGGCATTGTCAAAAGAATTGAAATATCTGGGCATCACGCTTGACAATAAAATGACATGGAGAGCCCACCTAGATAATAGAGTTAAAAAAGCGTACGTTGCATTCGGTCAATGCCGGAGGACTATAGGTAAGAGATGGGGTTTGTCACCCAAAAATGTCCTCTGGATTTACACGTCTGTAATCCTACCTATGCTTACATATGGTGCAGTAGTATGGTGGTCAAAGACCCTACAGTCTACATCTACTGCTGCACTTATTAAAGTACAGAGACTTGCGTGTTTGTATGTTACAGGTGCGCTGCGGACTACCCCCACTGCAGCCATGGAAAACATGTTAAACCTAACGCCACTTCATTTGTTCATCCAAGAGGTGGCATTGGTGACCATGACTCGACTGCGAGCAGCAGGAATTCTAATGGGTGAGAGAAATAGTAAAAATGCCAATCTCTGGAATGAAATGGTGGATTACTCACCAATTCTGGAGTGTGTAACGGACTTTACACCCCTACAACACATTTTTACGAAGAAATATCTCACCCACCCAAGCTCCACAGAAGTAGAGGTAAAAAACAGCCTTAAAATCTACACTGATGGTTCAAAGAGACGGGAAGGAGCTGGAGCCGGAGTCTTCTCGTACGATCTCCGACTCCACGTATCTGAACCTTTAGGTATAAGTACCACCGTCATACAGGCGGAGTTAATCGCCATACAACTTGCCGCTGACGTTATTGTCAGATCCAACTTGGTAGGTAAGACTTTTACAATTTATACTGACAGTAGACAAGCTATTTTAGCCCTGAGTAGAATAACAATTACCTCAGGACTTGTTATGGGTTGTCATCTGACATTGGAGAAGGCCGCAGTGCATAACTGTGTCATACTTCAATGGATAAAAGGACACTCGACTTGTTCAGGTAACAAGCACGCTGATAGGCTTGCCAAAAGGGCTGCCAAGCGAGCGCCATGTTCGCCTGAACCGATAATCGCTCCGTCCTTATCAACTCAGATTGAGATAATTAAAGATTTTACCCACAAAAAGTTCATGAACTGGTGGGATAGGGTTAAGGGTTGCCATCTGTCTAAGGAAGTATTACATTATCCTTCAGCAGAGGCAGCCTTGTCTTTCGTAAGGCTTGGTAGAAACGCTCTACGAACTGTAACGGGACTCGTCACGGGTCACTGTAAGGTAAACAAGCATCTTTATAACCTTAAGCTTGCTATTAGTCCTCTCTGTCGCCTCTGTAAAGAGAGCGAGGAGACGGTCCGACACATCTTGTGTGAATGCCCCACTCTGCAAGACCTCAGAATGAGAGACTTCGGAGAGGAATGGCCGACCACAGATGGCATCAGGAACACACCTCTGAGCTGTATCCTAGCCTTCGGAAATTCCTTAGGCTGGTTGATGTAGCCGGAGAGAGTGTAGGAGGACGTACAAGGGGCCCCACTGGCGCCTAGGTGCTGTATGCGTAAGCATACCCTCCGCTTTCCTACATACATAATCAATAACGTACACCAACGATGAAGGGTAAGATTTTATACATGGTTTATAATTTATGAAGATTCTAATTAAATAATAATACTTGTAGCTGTAGCTCTTTCTTTGCTTCTCTTGGCATTAACTGCCTATGCTGTTGCTAGTAAGTCCACTTTTTTTTAACACCGATTTTTTTACAATATCGTATATTTTTAGTTCAATTCTTTCCACACCCTGAAGATTGTACATTATTCTATAAATGTGAAAATCCGGAGCTTGTGGAATGCCCAGCTGGATTACATTTCAACCCAACTTTACAAGTTTGTGATTGGCCAGAAGAAGCTGGTTGCGATGCTTAAAGTTATACTGACAAAAATAAATATATTAAATAAATATGTTGATTTAATTCATTAAACCTTAATACAGGTGTCCAAGACTTCCAAGACCAAAAAATTTATGTTAAATTGCAATTCTAAAAGCAGACAAAAAAACCACCTCTATCAATTCATCAATATACAATCTAGAGCGATGTTTTTTTTTTGAATTTTTTCACATTCTGTAAATGATATCTTGTAGGTGATTTAATCTTCCACGCTGCCCAGGCGGGTTGGAAGATGGTTTCAGGATAAGATAAGGAATAGAGTATTTCTGCTCCGAAGTTGAGAACGAATCTAAGCTCGCAAATGAAGTAGACTTATCTTTCATCGCAACCATGAAAGACTGAAAGATTCTAAGGAATATAAAAACTTAATTTCTAACTGTTATTTTTGAAAGATATACTTTTTATTTCAATTTATCGTTACATTTCAAGGGCAAATAAGACGAGTGTTTATTGCAATATAAAGAAGTCTCATACCAGTAATGATATCTCTAATTTCTCTTTCTCTATCTGAAGTCAATTTAGAAGAAGCGGTTAACACATAGACGGACTCTATAAAAAAAATGTATGAGTTATCTATGGTAGGTATTATATATTTTTTTAACAAACCTTCCCATCGAGGTATAAATAGTCCAACGTTTTTGCACGAATAAACAATTACGTATTCCTTAGGGACGTATTTGACTATTTTCGGGTTTTCAATATTAAAATTACGTGGAATTAAGACGTCTCTATTGCAGTTAAAATAAGTTGAACTGCCAGATCCTGCTGGGGAACATTTAAAACATTGACCGGTGAAGGGTCTTGTCGTTAAAACCATATAAATCAACTTATCGTTATTAATTGACTACAACGTATTAAAGTTAGATAGGTATTAATATTATGAGAAATGTTTAAATTAACTTACTTGTTGTAAAGATGCGCTTGTATCATTGTAAGTTCGACAGCTATTAGGCCAACCAAAAATTCGCTCTTGATGATGCTCATCATGATGTTGACTATTTTTAGTCGCATAACCAGATGTTATAAATAAATTAATAAAAAGTATTACCCACAACATGTTCGGATTTGTGTAAGTAGTTGTTTTGAAATCCGTTTTGGGTGTAATTTGAGGAAGGGATCGAAACGACTCTTTAAATAGGTGAGAATGAACGATTTTCTTATCAAAAGGAATTTTTAACTATTTAGGATATTTTCGGAGTATTTTGTTAATACGTCAACGGCAATGATCAGTTTTTTTTCGTTGAAATAAAAATGGTATTTTTCTGTTTAAATAAAATGCGTTTAAAATATTTTTGTTAACACTTTTCATTCTAACATTTTTTTGGTGAAAAGAAATTGTTGAACGTAAAGAAAAGTACAGAAAAATTAAAAAAAGAAGATATGATTATAGAAATTTAAATACAGGAATTTCCTCTTGATTTTTTATTTATATTTTCAATAGTTCCTCATACATGTCCATTTCATGCTTGCTACTTGCTTAAATGTGTTCTCATCACACTGCTGATGGTCTCCTCTTGAATTCCTTCTGCATACTCTTGCCCAATGTCCTATTTTACCACAAATGCTGCATTTCTTATCGTACGCTGGACATTGGCCATATTTATGGTTTCTATCGCATTTTCCACATGTCCTCATTCTTCTTCTTAACATTTCTACCTCAATTCATTCATTTTTTATGTTCATTGTTTGTTTTTCTGCAATAGCCTTTGTTCTGCATACTTCCAACGCCTTCTCTATGTCCGAATTTTGCGTCTTTAATAATGTCGTTTTGGTTTCATGTCATTTATTCCGCTTACAAAGATATCTTTAATTGTTCTTTTAACACTCCGAAGTCGCATGTTGTTGCCAGATTTTTTTAAAATTGTTACATATTGCTCAAATTTTCGTTTTCTTTTTGTTTTCTATTAAAAAATATATATCTTTCATACGTGATATTCGTTATCGGCTTGAAATATTTTACCACTGTCACCATGTTATATTCTTAAGGTTCGGAATGATGCAACATAATCTAATGAAGTCAGTTTATTAACTGCTAGTCATCTTTACAATATAACGGTTAAGGGATCTAGAAACTACTTTGTTATATAAGTTGCCTATACAATAACATCCTTCTAGGAAAGTCCTACATTTCTTTTTGCACGCACAAGGCGATCCCAATTCACCTAGATTTTGGAGCTGGTACGGTGGAAACTTCACGGCTTCTGCACACTTTGACTGGATTGTTATTTACTTCCAATAAATATGGAGTACATTCGGCCTGAAAAGGCAATAACGTGAAAAACCTCTTTAACACGTTGAAAAAAACAATGATAAAACATGACATGCCACAAAAACATTTACCTCAAAATATTTTCTTAATAATATACCACAAATTGATTTCCATGCAAGAATTTGATAGAGTTCGCAATTAATGATCTGAAAATAATTTTGTCATGAAAATTACTTTACGTAAGTAATTTCAAAGTTCAACGTTCTACGCATCGTTTTATGCGGTGAAAATAAAAAAAAAATAATTTTGGAGTTTTATTTAAAGTATTTTGACAATTAATGCAATTTAATTTAATTTAATAAAATTTTGCATGCTTTTTGAGTGCAATCATATGATTTTCCGTCTCCGCAACAACAGACGTTACACAATTTTTCATAACAGTCTCCAAGTTGACAACGCTCTGGTTGTTTTCCACGTACTACTTGAGAAGCTAGAAAATTCAAAATTATTTGTGTAAGAAATAATTTTATATCTACATTTACCTGCTTGAGTAAAAGCAATGTTAAGGATGATAGCAATGAAGAAAATTGATAAGATTTTCATAATTGATCGAGAATATCTTTTCTAATCAAAATCCAAACCAGAAATACATAATAAATTAAACTTAACGATGTTTTATATAAAAAAAAAACATAAAATTAGTTATAAAAATGTGGGAGTTTATTACCTCGTTTCGAATTCATCATCAAAACAACAATGGTTACTAAATTTAATTACTACTAAAGATAACTATAGAGTATATTTATTTGTAACTCTATATTAATTAATCGTATAAATAAAATATTAAAAATTAAAATGGAGTATTTGATAGACTGTTTTATGTGTGTCTATCTGTTTATTTATTATTTTATAGCTATAACAAAATCGCCATGGCAAAATACATTATGTTGATATAACAACCCATGGTGATATAACATTATGTTTATATATAAAAATAATTAGAGTGCGTGATGCGCTACAATTATTCCCCCCTTCAATAAAAATTTAATATAACGATGTTTCAAACATAGAAATAAAAAGAACGAAGAAAAAAGGAGGCGTCTAGTTTCAAAAGTAGATAGATTATTTTTTTTTTAATTTTCAGGAGACAGAAAAATGTGGTGACGTCTTTTTTTTTATTATTTTTTAATGTTAGATTTTTATTCAGCTTGCACGAGGTATACCTATGTTGTAGAAAAATATCGTTTCGAAAGAATTGTTAATTATTAAGAAATTACTTGTTTTATGTTTCATCTATCTGGTTTTGAAACCAAGAAACATGATCTATCTGTTTGTGAAACTAAACCAAGACTAAACCATATACTAAAAAGTAGTAAACTTAGTGATAAGTTGGTTTGAAAAGGGAAAATTATAAACTTTTATTAATTGTTAATTTAATAGAATAATTAATTATCTAGATTTGAAAAGAAGTTTTTTGTTTAATCAAAAATTATTATAAGGTATAGAAGTAAGGTTGAAAGAAAAATAATAAGAGGTACAGTAAGGCATTTTATTACATTTTCAAAAGTTAACAGTATAAATCAATAAGTCGATAACACATAACTTTAGTGTACAAGTCATAATAGTTGGTAACAGAAAGGCTTAGTACACTTGTTTGTGAATATCATAATTTTTCAGGTAACATCATTACAAATCAATTGGTAACACAAAACTTTAGTGTACGAGTCTATTAATATTGGTAGTTGATAACAGAAAAGTTTGGTACTGTGAAGATCGATACCGCTAAGAGAGAGAAAGAGATGAAGAAGAGAGAGAGTAGGGAGTGGGAAGGACGGTTAAGAGCCCACTTTACCAGGTCGGTCAGTTTCTGAGGGGCGCAGACGACGGACGTTCGGAAGCAACGAGGCGGAGTTTATTTTCTACTAGGCCCGACCCTTTATAGAT